GAGCCGGCCAAATCTTTGACACTTATCACACTTCTTTACCATTTTCATGGCGTCTGCCTTAAGAGTGGGCCAAAAGTAGCCCTGCCGCCTATATGTGATGCACAAAAGCCCGAGTGCAGATCCTCTAGAACCTCTTTCCCCCTTTCAGGGGTAACGCACTTCAGCAACGGCTGGAGGTAACCCTTCCTAAAGAGTTCCCCCTTGTAGATCTCAAAACTTGAGGCTCGCTTCTTCAATGCAGCCGCTTCTGAAGGGGCATCCGGCAAATTGCCGTCTGCTAAGTAAGCCCTTTGTCAATCACCGTACCTTTTCATGTCAAATCCAGAAAAGGTAAAGACAGTCAATGTTGCCAAGGGTGACTTCATGTCAATCACCACCTGTACCTTTTCCGGGTTAGCCTCTATCCCCCTTTGATCAATCAAGAATCCGAGAAACTTCCCAGACCCAACACCAAAGACACACTTTTTGGGATTAAGCATGACCTAATGCCGCCTGAGGGTGGTAAAGGTTTCTCGGAGGTCAGCAAGGTGATCCGTCTGGAGCTTAGATTTGATTATCATGTCATCAATGTACGCCTCTACATTCCTCCCAATTTGATTAATGAAGACCGTGTTAATCATCCGTTGGAAGGTAGCAGGTGCATTCTTCAGCCCAAACGGCATCACCGCATAACAGAATAATCCTTGATCAGTGACGAATGTCGTCTTCTCTTGATCTTTTTTCCACAAGGGTATCTGATGGAAGCCTGAATAGGCGTCCATGAAGCTCATCAAGGCATGACCGGCTGTACCAGACTGTCGATCTTTGGAAGTGGATAGCTATCCTTTGGACATGCCTTGTTCAGATCTGTGTAATCAACACACATCCGCCAGGTACCATTCAGCTTTTTAACAAGGACAACATTGGCTACCCAATCCGGGTAGTAGCATTGCCGAATGAACCCGGCATCCAGCAGCTTCTTGACCTCGACGGCTGCCGCCTGAGATCTTTCCTCGCCAAGGTTCCTTTTCTTTTGCCTTACCGGCTTCTTTTTTGGATCCACGGCAAGTTTGTGGACAGCAAGATCCGGGACACCTGGCATCTCTTCCACTTCAAAGGCAAAACTGTCTTTGAATTCCTTCAGTAGTTGATGCAAATCAGCACCCAACTTGACAAAGGCAACCATCCCCACTTTAACGATTCGTTCCGGACGGTTGTCATCTAGAACAATGTCAATATTTTCACCAGCCGGTTGGGGACGGAGATCATCTGATCGTTCCCCAATCAATGATTGCTATTGCTTCTCTTTTCTGACGGCCACCAGGTGGTCCGCCTTTCTCTTTTTGTCGGCTGCTTTGGGAGCAGACGCGGCTTCCTTGAAGTCATCAAGGTCAATGGGTTCCTCGCCTTGGCCGGCTGCGGCCACAGTAGGCTTGACGTCTGAGAGATAACACTTCCTTGTCATCTTCTGATCCCCGTTCATGGAACCCACCATTCCATCATCCCTCTCAAATTTGATCAACATGAGGGATGGGATGATGATTGCCTTGGACTCATTGAGGGTTGGACGGCCCAAAAACAGATTATAGGCGGTCCATTCCTCGACCACCAAGAACTTGATGACCATGTGTCGTCCCTTCCCCTTTTCACCTAGCCGGATGGGTAGGTCAATCCTGCCCACCGGATGCACTACCCCTCTTCCAAAGCCAACTAAGGGGTGAGAGGCTTTGTGCATGATGCCAGGTTTGTACTTTAGCTTCGCCAAGCACTGATAACTTATAAGGTCAGACGAGCTCCCGGTATCAATAAGAATTTGGCCTACTCGTTGGTTGGCAACCTTGCATTCGATGATTATAAGGTCATCATGAGGTCGTCTGACCTTGCCCCGATCCTTCTCAGAGATGAGGACCTCAGGGAAGGTGTCTTTCAACGCCCGGCCCTCATCCACTGAGTTGACAAGCTTCCTGATGTTGTCCCTGGTACCCCAGATAGTAGGACCCCCTCCCGCGAAACCGCCTGCTATGGTGAAGATTTGCTCTTCATCAGTGTCAGAGCTCACAACCGGCTTCTTGGACGGTTGTCCATTGTTTGATTTGGGGTTACCCTTGGACTTCATCATATAGGACTTCAAAGCCCCCTCATCAGCCACCTCATCAGCCAGACGGTCCTGAGGCTATAGCAGCCATTGGTGTCATGGCCTATATCCTCATGGAATTGATAGTACTTGCTCTTGTCCCGACTTTTAATGGGACTCTTCATTGCTGCCGATTTTTCAATGGTCAACCGGCCTTTGATCTCCATGAGGATGAAGGAGCAGTCCTTGTTGAACTCGTACTTGGGGACGTACGGCTTCAACTCTCTCTTTTTCTTCTGAGGCGGCTGACCAGAATGATCCGCCGCCCAGACTTCTTTTCTTTTCTTGCTCTCTTTTTTTTTAGCCGGCTGTCTTTCCTGTCGGACTTCTTAGGGTCCGACGAGTGCTTGATGGCACAGAGCTCCGTCGCCTATATGTAGGCTTCGGCTTCCATCAACGCCTCTTGGAGGGTAGCAACCCTCTTTCTGACCAGGTCGAACTTAAAGGTTGACCCGTCCTTCCGACCTTTGAAGAAGTCTGTATAGGCAACTTTGTCAGACAGCCCTTGGATCTGAATTCTCATCAGATTGAACCGCCTTGACATAGGACCTTAGTCCTTCCTTGTCTCCCTGCTGAATAGCCCCCAAGTCGAGACTTGTCTTTTTGGCAGGGATGTTCATGGAGAAGTTGGACGCGAACAGGTATGCTAGCGACTTGAAGTTGTTGATGCATCCGGCTGGCAGATTGCCAAACCATCGTTGGGCTATGCCCTTCAATGTAGCCGGGAAGCATCGGCACCAGGCGGCATCATCCAACCCCTGTAAGTACATGAGGTTGGTGTAAGCCATTAGGTGGTCTTCCGGGTTGGTGGTACCGTCATAGGTACTAACCAACACGTTCTTAACCTTGGCCGGCTAAGCCGCCTCGGTTATCTCCCTGGAGAACGCCGACGGCTGTTCCCCAAGGTTTAGCAGCCGGAGCTGCCAGTCCATGGGCTGGACCTGCTGTGCTGCCTGACCCCCAAAGAGGGCCGGCTGCATGTATGGGGATCCATACGGCATGTATGGCTGTTGGGGCACATATGGAGCCGGCTGGATAATCTGAGGGCCAGTACGTGCAGACATGCCGCGTGACTGACTCTCTCGGTTTGTTTCCGAATGCTTCATTGAAGTATTCCGAAAACTGTCTGGGTACATCGACGTTTGAGGCCGACTCAAACATTTGTTGACTCCTCTTCTCCTGGATGAACATCCGGGCGTCTGAGTAAGTCTTTTTTGACCCATCCGGCTAAACTTGCCGTATGGCCTTCCTTTGCCCTGATTCAGGAAAACGAAGTTTGGATAGGTCGATCATGGGCCCGTCCGCCCCTTTTGGTTTAGGGTGAGGAGTGGGCACACAATCCTTGATATGCTTTTTCCCGGAGGGAGAAGGCTTCTTAACCGGCTGACTCTTGTTGGTACCAGCTAACTTGCTTATCAGGTCCTTAATCCCCTTTGAAACTCGTCATGAATTTCATGAGTTCGTCTCTACTTACGGGGGCAGCTCCTTCCGCTGCCTGGGGTCTCCAGCCGGCTTGATGGTTGGGCTGCTAGGACCAGCTTTATCTTCGCCCCGTTCCCTTGTTTCTTTAGAACGGGTGCGTCTTGTTCTAAATGACCCGTCTGGGGCCACGTAGGTGTCGACCTCAAAGTCGTCATCATTATCTTGGTCCGTGTGGACCTCGGTCTCGGTCATAGGCCGTTTTCCCTTAGTAGGCGATACAGATTCGGATGTCATCTCAGAAGTACTCTCCCCACAGACGGCGCCAACTGTTTCGGGGTTTTTGGAGTCCCTCGGGAGAGTTACAATTCCAAGAATGCGCGTCGACCGTCTGCAAAACCACGGAAACTCCGGTTGGGTGGAGTTCTGCCTCCGACGATCAAGTTAGAACGTTTCCGGATGTATTAAAGTGCGGAATGTAAAGGTTTTTGTCTCTGATTCAAAGAGAATTCTGCAATTAATAATGCTTGGTTTTTGTGTTTGTATTTATGAATAAGTAATAAATGAAGATTTTCCTCTATTTATGGTGGAAGGGGATCAGTTCCCCTTTTAGAGTTAAGGTGCCACGTGTTAGCAGAGGATTGGATCCCATTGGGCCTATCTGAGGCTGACACGTGTCAGCATGCTATTAGGCCACGTGGACGGGGTATTTTTACCCTAAACAGGTACCAACCAGATGATTTTTCCTAGAATGGCGGTGACATAGAGCTTGAAACCTGTCATAATTGATTCCAGTTTAGATTATTCAATAATTTCAGTTTCTATACCAGTTCCATAATTATTGGATTTGAGACCTCATCTGGGGCAGTCCAGTATCATTTTTGTAAATTATAATTCGTAGAGTTTATCTAACCTTAAGAATAAAATGATACAGTGTGGACAAAGTCAACAAAATGAAAAAAATAAAAAAAGAAAAAAGGGAGCGGGTTCATTTAAATCAACTTAAAATACATTTTCTTCAATATAACTATTTAAAATCTTGTTCTCAAGTAAGCAAAAGTATTTGGGTACCTCATGCACAACCAGTTTTAGACTAGCTCCTAGCAAAGTATTATATCATGATTAAGGTTGCAATTATAGTAAGTAGTAACAATCTCACATCACTATAAAAAAAAAAAAAAATAAAAATAAAAAAAATAAAAATAAAAAAAAATAAAAAAAAAAACCTAAACAATTTATGTAAATGGTAAAGATGAATGTAGCATGATATCAGTTTTACTGTCTACAGGTCAATACATGACAGCTCTTTACAAGTTGAAAAAATAATGTATGTGCTGACTGCTGACTGATGCATTAAGAAACCAGTATCAACTGGTTTGAGTGGTAACCAGTATCTTTGCAAACTGGTTCCAAAATTATGAACCTGTTCTCTAACTGAATATGAGCTATGATCCTAAATATTAGCTGACTACAAAGTCCTAGGCCCACTACTATTTATGGTATATCTGTATATGCCATCATAAGAATGATTTTCCCAAACAATGTCCAACTGCCAATATTGAGAGACTTCAAGGAGAAAAATAATGACAGGTTAATTATTTGTTTTACGGTTACCGGGGGGGGGGGGGGGGGGGGGGGGGGGGTTGTAAGCTTTAATTTCTTTACCAATTAAGTAGTCTTTACAGATCAAGAGTCCTTTGCCCTAGGACAAACCTTCTACCAAGGAATCTCGTAAGGAAAAGTAAGCTAAGAAATATGACAGCTAATTCAGCATAATTCAATAACCACTTTTCTCTTTTTAAGTATTTAGAATTGGCTGTATAAATTTGGCGGAACATTTTATATCGAGTACAAGCAAATTTTCCAATAATTCATATGTGGATAGTTGGAAGTAAACAATAAATGAATGGAAAAGAATCACTGAAGCTACAGCCTCCAATGTCAATTGCATCTTTTAGAAGTGCAGTGACCATACTAAAAGCCTTAACAGAAAGATCAATTTGAGAATACCACATAATTATGTTAAACGACCTCAAAACTGATGAGATAGTGATGATGTTCTAAGAGAAATAGCTGATTTGAGAGGACTTGTTTACCTAGACAGTACTACCATAGTGTTGTTTATATGATTCTTGATCCATTCCTGGTATTCATTAATAGTGAATCTGTGTCTGAGACTTTTATTATTTGATTATATTCGTGCTATTTGATCTAGTTGTTTATTAAAATATTTCTTACAACACCAAAACAAGTCCCTTTTGCATAGTCTATCCTTTTATTTGACATCCATAGGATAGTTATCTCCTTATGGTTCGACTCTCACATCCTTATCTATAGTAGTAGGTGGGCGTGGACCTTAGGTTATCTTCGATTAGGCGTGCAATTAGCCTGCCAAAATGAGCACTAAATCATAGAAATTTCCCCAGCATTAACAATATAAGCACTCTGACATTCAGGAAAACATTGCTAATAATTCAATTAATAAATCTTTGATACAGACTTCAAAGATCATTGCTAATTTATAGTATAATAGCAAACACAAGGATAGTTAACAGTGACACTGAGTCAAACAGATTCGGAAGCTACTTGAGAACAGAATAGCTTAAACCTTTGCCAGGAGTTTGTCTAGAATCAAACTTGATGACTTAAAACAAGGACACCTAGTTATTAACTCAGCTTCTTGGCCCATAATACCCTTTGCTCTGAATATAAGATTAAGGAGAATTACAAAAACACCAAAGACATAAGACCAATATGAGGCAGGAAGATAATTTCATTACAAATAAAAGATTTCATCAGACATTAATTAGGAAAATCTTGTCATTTCTCTATACCTCTACGCCCACGCAGTAGCAATGATATAAATTTAATTCAAGCATTAAAGATCTATACATAATATAACAGCCACAGCAATGTACCTGATCCAAATCTGAGAAGATTAACTCTAGATTGATGACATCAATGTCAGACTTTGGTTCAACTCGTCCATTTACGTGAATAATATCATTATCCTCAAAACATCGTACAACCTAAACACATTAACAATCAGAACCACTTGTCTGATATATAGTAAAGAATAAAAACTAACCCTATAGTCTGTGATTCAGAAGAAAAGAACTTTATGTTTGGCACCAAAATAATGAGAACACTAATCTGACACTTACAGCTCATAAAATGCATTGTTGCAATGACTAAGACCTCACAATGGCAAGACTGAAACAGTAGATCATGCAGCCCATGTATTAATTGGTGTGCTGTATTAGGCCCAAGAGTTGCAAGGAATTAATATATAGCTCCCAAAGTTTTCTATCATCCTTTGAGCAGGATTTTTTTTTTTTGTTTTTTCTATATAGACCTAGAAGGGAAAGTAACACACATGGACAAAAAGGTTTTTATGAGTAAGATCAAGGATCATCCATCCAAAATCAAGTGCTTCATTTTCTACATTATATAAAAATGGGAGGCATAAGTGACACCAAACCAGCCTCTTTAGCCAATAGCCATTACCATTAGTCTCCCATGTAATTTACATTCTGTTTAGCAATTATCCCAACAAAGGACTCCAATTACAATTTTTAAACTTTTTGTTCTCTGCAATTCTTCATTCTGACAATTTTTCGCAAACATAAATTACAAAATACATAAAATAAAATAACATTATTGTATTAATGTAGACAACCATGAAAAAATACTCAGCCGGTATAATCAGCCATATACCCTATATGGTCAAACCCACATTCATCTATATGGTCATTGGGCACCATGACAAAAGCTTCACATTTTTCGAAATTCTATGATGCAAGTTGGATCTTTGGATGGTATTGCATATCTTTGAGTCACTTTATATTTATATAATTGAACCTTGTTATTTGACAAATAAATGAATTAGTAGATTTAAATCTACACACACAAGACAATTGAAAAACATCTTTACAGCAAAGCTATAATTGCTATTGCATATCAAACATTCTCTATACCCTCTTTCATGTCACTGTGATTTACAGCCTACCTTGGCTAGGGGGTCTATATAGCTGAACTAAATAACTAGTAATATATATAATAAGCACCTGAAGTATGGAGTCGACTTCACGAATATGAGATAAGAATTTATTCCCTAATCCCTGCAATTCGAACAATAACAAATAAGAGTAGTGTGCATGAGGACATCAATACTCTTGCAACCTATAAGGAACACCTTGAAAAGAAGGGAATTAAAGAAGGATATACACTTTCTAATAAAGTATATGTTCAAACCTCTCCCTGGCTGGCCCCCTTAACAAGCCCAGCAATATCCACAAATTCTACAGATGCAGGGACCATTTTCTGAGATTTACTCAAATCAGAAAGCACCTGCAACCTTGGATCTGGAACAGCCACAGTCCCAACATTTGGTTCTATTGTGCAAAAAGGAAAATTAGCAGCTTGCGCCTTCCCATTTTCAACCTGTAAAGTTCTACTTCACTTAATATGACAGTTGACATGCCATGGAGTAAACAATTAAAACTACACAAAAATTTCCAATAATAAACATCTGCAGTAACAAAGTGTAACACTGCTTAGGCATTGGATTCTACTGTTAATAAACGAACTTGTCAAACAAAATAAGTAACGAAGAATCAGTACCTAGTTATCTACACAAAGAGACATAATCACATACATCTAAGGAGCATATTTACAAATTCAGCAGCCTCTGTGCTTGGAGAACTAAGGCTAAACACTTATAAATTAGTAATGAAAAGTCAGATTGTGATAGTTCTAAACTAAAAACTACCTGCTAACAGAAGAACATCAGATGAAACGACATCACCCAAGTCTAAAGAAATTGGCAGGAGAAACAGTTGAAATTTCTATTGCCAATAACTAAAGTTAACCCCAAATTCACCGTGCCGTCAATCGTTCATCACCACCAACAATGAACACTAAGCTAACATAACAATGAACAACTTAATCAGATAAACAATCAATAAACTACCCACAAACATTAAACAGACAAAAAAATAACAACAAATTAATCCCATAAATTCCCAAATCATACAAATTCAAGACATTTTATCAAAATTAATAGCATAACTCATAATGTCATATAATCAAACACCTTTCAGGCATAAACCCAGATAGCAGCATTGTGAGTAGAATAGCGAGAAAGAGGAAGATGGGCTTACAACAGCATTGAAAAGAGTGGATTTCCCAACATTAGGGAGACCAACAATACCAGCTTTCAGACTCATGGAAACTTTGAGTGGTGAAGAAGATAAGCTTCGTTTGCTAAGGATTACATGGTTGGTGGTAATACAACGAGTGAGAGATGGGTCAGTAGAGAGAAAGGAAGACTTGAATGGCATTTGTAAACCAGATAGAGCAGGCCGCCATTGATGACAAGCTATTCTCGCCATTGATGCCTAATCTTTAAGGTTTGAGTTTCCACACAATGGTGTTTTACGGAGATACGGGGTAATAGAATTGGTTACTTGCGCGAAAAATAACACCGAGGAAGTAAAAACGAGTAAAATCAAATTTATCAAGCTCTTTGACTATTTGTACCAACTTTTTTGGGGTTTTTTTAAAAAAAAAATAAAAATAAATAAAAATAGATAAAATGACAAAGCTATGTTCTACTTTCTCCTCCAAAAATAAAAGAGCTCTTTCCCAAATTAAGGTCAAGAAGAACCGCAATTCCCAAATTGCAGCCAAAGTTTTAAGAATTCCCAAAGTACCGTCCACGTCACCGGTTCAGGGGGAAGAAATTTTAAATCCGGTCTACAGCAAAACCGCTACCTGAAGTAGCGGTTTTTACTAATAAACCGCTACTTCAGGTAGCGGTTTCTTTTTAATAAACCGCTACTTCAAGTAGCGGTTTTTGTTTAATAAACCGCTACTTCAAGTAGCGGTTTTCTAGCAGGTATAATTTCCCGATTTCACTTTCCTCTTTCATTTTCGTCTTCTCACCAAAATCCCATCCACGCCTTCCACCAAAATCACACCTCCTTCAACGGAAGCCGGCGCAGCCAAGGAATCCACCGACGCCGCCGGAGCATTCCTCAGCAACGAAGGCCGCCGCTGTTGACGCCGAGGGTTCGACTTTAGTGGTCGGCTTCGCTAATTTCAGAAGAAACGTGCTGATCTTCTTGTTTGTGGTAAGTGCCCTAATTATTTTTTGTATTCAGTTATTGGGTTTGTTGTTGTTATTGAGTTTGTTGTTGTTATTGAGTTTCAGAATTGTATGTATGTGTTGTTGTTGTTGGTTTTGGTTGTGTTGTTGTTGTTAGTGTTCTTGTTTATTGTTGTTGTTATTGAGTTTCGGTTTTGGTTGTGTTGTTGTTGTTAGTGTTCTTGTTTATTGTTGTTGTTATTGAGTTTCGGTTTTGGTTGTGTTGTTGTTGTTAGTGTTCTTGTTTATTGTTGTTGTTATTGAGTTTCGGTTTTGGTTGTGTTGTTGTTGTTAGTGTTCTTGTTTATTGTTGTTGTTGTTGAGTTTCGGTTTTGGTTGTGTTGTTGTTGTTAGTGTTCTTGTTTATTGTTGTTGTTATTGAGTTTCGGTTTTGGTTGTGTTGTTGTTGTTAGTGTTCTTGTTTATTGTTGTTGTTATTGAGTTTCGGTTTTGGTTGTGTTGTTGTTGTTAGTGTTCTTGTTTATTGTTGTTGTTATTGAGTTTCGGTTTTGGTTGTGTTGTTGTTGTTAGTGTTCTTGTTTATTGTTGTTGTTATTGAGTTTCGGTTTTGGTTGTGTTGTTGTTGTTAGTGTTCTTGTTTATTGTTGTTGTTATTGAGTTTCAGAATTGTATGTATGTTTGTGGTTGGTTTTGGTTGTTGTTGTTGATTTACTTACCTTACATATAACCCTTGTAGAATTATTAATGGTTTCGATCACATTACTCAGTTTAGGTTGCTATAATTGCTGATTTTGAAAGTGAAAATAGAGCTTCTATACACAAAGTACATGAGCTCAAAGTACATGTAGTCATGACTTATGCCCATGTTGAGCTTCAAGAGGTATTAAGACCTTCATAGCTCAGTTTAGGTTGCTATAATTGTGTAGTTTGCTTGCTTGATGTTAGGACATTGCCACACTGTTAATGAATTTTTGCAATCTAATATCTTTGATTAATAATGGGCTTTTCTAGAATGAAACATGGAGGTTCCGAACTACCCTCTATATTGCTATTGGGGTGGAGAAATTGTCCACAAAGATAGCGATATAACGTATAGGGGTGGGAATCAAAAATTTGTGTTTGTACATTCTGCGATGACATATTCACAAGTTCTGAACAAGCTATATGAAGAATTGAGTGTTGATCCTAGAGGTGTGGAGTTGAAGGTGGTTATGCGTTATCCTATGGCTGGGGCATATGTTGCAATTCCGTTAAATGACGACAACGCTGTTAGAGCTATGTGGATTGCTGTGACTCAGAGTTCTTCTGTTGCAATGCAATTGTTCATTGAACAAGTTCCAAAGGAGCCAGTTGTGCAAACTAACACTGGTTCCTTTCCGGGGATGGATTTTTTTGGTAGTGTGGATCAACCGTTTTCCACTGGTGTTCAAAGTGTGGGCATAGGGTCATTCACAAGAATGCTTGTTGATCCACATTATGTCAATGACCATCTCTCACAGTTTAGGTCTCCGGCCTCATCGCCTAATGTTGGAACCTCGACAAGCACACAACCACAAGGCATTCTTGATTCTCTTGACCCAAACAATGTTGATGTATTTGGCGATGCAGAGATGAATGACACTGATGAAGATGATGATGAAGAGGTAATTGAAGCTCGTGATAAGGCAATTAAAGGAAGCGCCCCCACTTCAGACTTCAATGAAGTGGCGCAAGTTGATCCTCGTTTGAATAACTCATGGATGTCTTGGTTAGGAAATGAGACATATAACAATGGGGGGGAATTTGAGGTTGGTCAGCAGTTTGACTCATTGCAACAACTGAAAGATGATGTGAAATCTTACTCCATAGCTAGAAATCAAACAATTCGAGTTGTGGAGGCAGAGCTAGAGAAATATGTTGTTGAGTGCAAGAGGAAAGAACAATGTAGTTGTTCGTGGAGGCTTAGAGGAGTGAAAGATCCAACACTCTCTACGTTTAAAATTGTGAGGTACAACGGCCCTCATGCAAGTAACTGTGTTGGTGACATCGACTCGGGAGATCATAAGCTACTGACTTCCGAGTTCGTTTGCAATGCTCTTCTAGATGTCATTCGCGTTGATCCTTCATTGAAAATCAAGACAATGGTGCAACTTGTGAAAGAGAAATTTGATGGATTCCAAATAACCTACAAGAGAGCATGGCTAGCGAAACAAAAGGCAATAAAACTCATTTATGGGGGTTGGGAGGGTTCATATGAACAGTTGCCTAAGTACATGCAAGCTCTCAAGGAATCAAATCCTGGAACTGTTGTTGAGTGGAGGTTGTTAGAGTGTACGGTTCCTGGAACACATGTTTTCCAACGAGTCTTTTGGGCATTCAAGCCATGTATTGATGGATTCCGTCACTGCAGACCCCTTATCACCATTGATGGCACTCATTTATATGGCAAATACAAAGGCACTCTACTCATTGCTATGGGAACGGATGCCAATTTTCAACTATTCCCCCTTGCTTTTGCGGTTGTCGAAGGAGAGAACAATGATAGTTGGTCTTGGTTCATGGCTTGTATTCGTGCTCGAGTTACAGATAGGAAAGGGCTATGTGTGATATCTGACAGACATGCTGGTATTTTAGCAGCAATGGAAGAAGTTGGAAGTGGTTGGGAGGAGCCCAATGCCTACCACAAGTACTGTACACGACACTTGGCTTCTAATGTGAACTCAAAATTTAAAAGTGTCGTCATAAAGAACCTCTTTGGCAAAGCAGCTACTGCAAGGCAGAAGAAGAAGTTTGATTACTACATCAACAAAATTGGTGACTTGAATGTAGAGGCCCGTAGGTACTTGATGGAAATTCCGTACAGTAAGTGGTCCATTCATCATGATGGTGGTTTCAGGTTTGGTGTGAAGACTACAAACATGTCGGAAGTTTTCAACGGAGTCTTAAAGGGGGCTCGATGTCTCCCGATAACCGCTTTAGTGCAAATGACCTTTTTCCGGGTTAACTCCTATTTTGCAACTAGAAGAAGTTGGAGTAAAAGAAGACTTGAAGAGGGCCATGAGTTATCGGAAAAGGCTAAGAAGACAATAGAAGCCAACATGGAGAAAGCCGCGCACCATGAGGTTGTTGCTTTTGACTATGATGCCATCGGGTTGTATCAGGTTAGGACCGGTCGTGGAAGAAGAAAAGCTGGTAAAGGTGGTAACTCCCACACTGTGAATCTGTTGAGCAAGACATGTACTTGTGAGAAATTGAGAATATACAAGCTCCCATGCTCTCATGTACTAGCAGTTTGTCGTCATAGAAGCCTATCACATGCAGACTTTGTGGATTCTTTTTTCATGACCGCCGAATACAGGCGTTCATACGCGAAGTGTTTCGCACCAGTTCCTGATCCTTGCCACTGGTTAGCTTACAATGGTCCTACTACTATTGCCAACCCAGATTTGAAAAGAGGCCCAGGCCGACGGTCCACTAGAATTCGAAATGAAATGGATGAGCGTCCCAATCGTGAGAAGAAGGCATGCAGTGTTTGTCGGCGACCTGGGCATAACAAGAAGACATGTCCTACTCTTATTGGTGGATTTGGATCATCTGGGTAACATGATTAATTATATATTCTTGTTTAATATTTATGTTTTTTCTCGAACGCTTAACATTAATTCAATTTTTTGTTATCGTGTAGGTCCCATGGAGCCGGTGATTCGTCCAGGCCCAGTTGATCCATCTGTTCTACGCTTGCAGACTTCCCATAGGAGCCACGATGTTTGGAGTGGCGTAGCTGATAGAGTTCTCTCAGTTAGGGAGCATATGGTCAGCGTGGGACGTGAGTGGAGGGTAGATGGCGGAGTACTAGAGTACGTTAGGCTTGCTGGGTTTTACGGTGTACATAGGATTTTGGGAGGAGGGTTTTTGCTTGATCGATCTCTTCTTACGGCGTTGGTTGAGAGGTGGAGGCAGGAGACACATACTTTCCACCTAGTGGTAGGTGAGGCCACCATTACTTTACAGGATGTCTCCGTCCTGTTAGGTCTGAGAGTGCACGACCCTCCTGTCATTGGACCTCCATTTGAGGGATGACATGACCTAGTTGAGGAGTTGCTGGGAGTTCGACCTGGCCATGATGATAACGGTAAGCCGTTTCTGGAGGGATCTACTTTGAAGTTGACGTGGCTCAGACGTCACTTCTCACAGATGCCAGAGGGAGCTGATGACTTGACAGTTCAGCGCCATAGCCGTGCTTACATTCTCACTCTCATGGGATCTATTCTGTTCGCCGACAAGAGTGGCGATGCTGTGTCACTCTACTACTTGCCGTTCCTTCGAGACTGGGGGACAGCTTCGACCTACAGCTGGGGGAGTGCGACTCTTGGTTTTTTGTATCGGCAGCTATGTCGAGGATGTCAGCGAGATTCAAGACAGATTGGAGGCCCGCTCATCCTACTACAGTTGTGGTCGTGGGAGCATATTACTATTGGCCGACCATACATTAGGAGGCCTCGAGATCCGCCACAGGAGGACCCTGAGGCTGAGGATGAGGATGACATTTTGGGGACTCAGCATCAGCGAGGTGTTGACCCTTTGGCGTGCAGGTACAATGTTTGCTTCAAGTTCATGTTCTTACAATTCTATCTTTCAAGAATTATTATTAACATGTCTTTACAGGTGGTTACGTGTCCATCTATCGTGTGCGCATACTGCTTCTGGACTACCATACTACAGAGATGCGTTTGACCATCAGCGCGAGGACCAGGTACAATCGGTGTTTCTTTTTTTTTGTGCATTGTATTTCTTCCATTATGTTAGTCATATACATGTTGACATACTTGTTTTGGGAATTAGATGATTTGGCAGCCATATACTGAGGCGGTGATGGATCGACTTCCGGAGATTTGTCGCTCAGACATGCACATTTGGCGTTCACGGGCACCTCTGATATGCTTTGACGTCGTTGAGTTCCACCTCCCAGACCGAGTCCTTCGTCAGTTCGGGTTAGACCAGCCGATCCCACAGGATGTAGACACGGACGTTGCTCTACACAGGAAGGATCGAAGGGGACAGCGTAATTGGGAGATTCGGCATTCGGACCATGTACACGAGTGGAGTTGACGAGAGGCATTAGTCGTCCAGGGATACCCGTTCACTGGGACTTCTTCCCCAGCCATGACAGAGTACATGGCTTGGTACCGTCGCATCACGAGACTGGTCATTACTCCACCTTCGCAGGAGCGCCCCCCGAGTCATTACCAGCCAGCTACCTCGGACCTCCTGCTTGTATGAACTTCACTTCATTTCAATCTAGTTCTTACGTTTTTGATTTCATTTTACTAACATTACAACTACACTTAAATGTAGGCACATGCATTTGCTGATTTGCACGTCCAGCTATCGGGAGCTACTGAGACCATCTCCCACTTGCCACCAGAGACGGCTATACCATTTGCCATACAGACGATGCAGGGTTTTACATCATTTTGTGGCCAAACCTTGTCTAGGGTGGGGCAGTCACACCTTATTCAGCAGCCTCGACCGTCCACGTCTTCATCTTCTACTGTGCACACTATGCCGATCAGACCACCACCTCATCGTGGAGGCCATTCAGCACGTGCCTTCCGTCCACCGACTCCTTCTCAGCATACTATCATGACATCTCCTCCACTAGTGCATCGCCAGTATCAGAGAAACCGACGGCGTAGCAACACTACGTCTGGGGTTGGAGTTGGCCTGGATGACATTCCAGAGGAGACAGCTGCATCATCTTCATCGTCACCTCATGGGAAGAAGCAACGCCCGAGCTAAGTGTATATTTTGGAACTAAACTAATTTTTTTGTAAATGCTTAGAATTGGATTTTGTTATATTTAATCAATTGAAAAATATTCGACTTTGCAATTTCGACTTCCTTAGATCTTCATAAACTTGTTATTTATGGTGGTTGTGTTGAAAATATGCTATATATCTCATGTTTTACAGGTACACAACTTGCAGGTTTTTTTTTTGAGTGATTATGCAAGTTTGAAAAAAAAACCAGTCCAGGGTAAACCGCTACTTCAAGTAGCGGTTTTTAAAGTAAACCGCTACTTGAAGTAGCGGTTTTCCAAAATAAACCGCTACATTAAATAGCGGTTTTTTGTAAACAAACCGCTACTTCAAGTAGCGGTTTTAAACTAAAAAACCGCTACTTGAAGTGGCGGTTTATTGCAAAGAAACCGCTACTTGAAGTAGCGGTTTACCCTGGACCGGAAAAAAAAAACCGGTTTTTTAACCAGTGCTTACGTGGACGGTACTTTGGGAATTCTTAAAACTTTGGCTGCAATTTGGGAATTGCGGTTCTTCTTGACCTTAATTTGGGAAAGAGCTCAAAATAAAAGCTATGTTGTCATTAAGTATATAGATAGAGAGCAAAGAAGGTTTTCACTCTCTGTAATATAGTTGTAAATACATATGGATGAAGAATGATGAAATTATAATTGCATTTAACCGACTTTTTATAGTGAAAGCACACTACTAATACTAGCTTTACACATGAAAACTTTACCATAAACTAGGGTGTACCATACTTGGTAAACCCAACACCCAATGTACACCATGTGTAAATGTACACTAGCGTTAGCTGTACATTTTATTAAAAAAAATTGCTTGCTTAAGTATAGGAATTCTGTTATTTATTCCATATTTATTACTTTCTTAATTAGATATATCCCACATTCTTTCATTTTGGAGTTTTTAAAACAGAGAGAAATTGAAATTTTAGAGAGAGAAGTTGAAGGTTAACATCGAAAATGGTAGAACGAGATGAATTTCGTCACAATTCTGATCGGCGATTTGCTAAGGATGATCACAATGAAGATTATTTTGATGTGATGGTGAATTTTTTGATAGAGCAGATAAAGCAAAAAATTCATGTTATATTTTTTAATAAAATGTACAGCTGATGCTAGTGTACATTTACACATGGTGTACATTGGGTGTTGGGTGTACCAAGCATGGTACACCCTAGTTTATGGTAAAGTTTTCATGTGTGAGGCTAGTACTAGTAGTGTGCTTTCACTATAGATACTCGGTTTAAAAGCAATTGCAATTTCATCATTCTTCATCCATATGTATTTACAACTATATTACAGATAGTGAAAACCTTTAATTTTTTTCTCTCTCTCTCTCTATATATTTCATAACAACATAGCTTTTTTTTTTGGAGGAGAAAGTATAACATAATTTCGTCATTTCATCTATTTTTATTTTATTTTTTTAAAAAAAAAACCCAAAAAAGTTGGTTGATTTACAAACAGTCAAACAACTTGATAAATTTGATTTTACTCATTTTTACTTCCTCTGCTCGGTATCATTTTTCGCGCAAGTAACCAATTCTATTACCCCGTATCTCCGTAAAACACCATTGTGTGGAAAATTCAAACCTTAAAGATTAGGCATCAATGGCGAGAATAGCTTGTCATCAATGGTGGTCTGCTCTATATTTTATTTAAATCAATGTTGTTTAGATCATTTCAAATCAATATTGATATGAAATATGATGATCAATAATTATATTTGGATTTCTGTAAAAAAAAAAAAAATTATTATTTTGACATTCAAATCACAGGATGAAGAAGATGTTCTTTATTGCATTGTTTTACGTTCTTTAATTGACAGTGTGATCCAAATTCATTGTAAAATTAGTAATAGTTTTGGCATTGAAATCAATGTTGATATGATTTATAATTTTGTTTGATTACATTTGTAATTATTAAGACTTTGAAATTAATGATATTATTTAAAAATTATATTATATTAATTGCATAGTATTTCAATTAGGTCATATACCTTTTACATTAGGTCATGTACGTTATATATGATTCTATGATCTTTCTATTATAATATTATGTACATTTTATATTAGGACAAGCACGATAATATAATTTTAGTCATTTGTTGTTTATAGGCTTCTCTAATCTGAGTTACTTTTCAGGAGAGTAAAGAGTGATAAACATGCTAGTGATTTGTATAACCAATACGCTTTTAAGCATGGTTTTGGTATATGTAAAGGAAAGAAAGAGGACAAAGAAAAATAGTAATATAATTCGACAAAGAATTTGTCAATGTTCATATGCTTGTTTCAAGAAAGTGAAGACAGAGATGTTGTGTACCAAAAGAGGAATTTTCGTACAGGCTGCAAAGCCTTTATTCAGTTTGATGTTGACAAGGATATTGGCTTGTTCATTGTGATTAACACATATAATGGAGCATAATCATCCTAGGGTTCCTATTTCAAAGAGGCATTTGATAAGATCTCATAGAAAGGTTAGTGAACATTCCTTTTATTATGAAAGTACATTATTTATTTTTTTGTCGCAATCATTTTTAATTTGAACCTGTATACGGTTTTGTACATTATTATTCATTATGTTCATTATTAATATGGATGATGTACTTTATTATTAATATTATTAGTATTATTCACTAAACAGAGGGTTCCTTTCCAATTATTGTAATGAACATTCAGTTTGTGAATAATGTACATTCTTGCGATGCTAAATAATATATCATGTTCTTTATAGGTTAATGATGATTGTTTCGGGGTTTTCTGATGTCCTGCGGGAGAGTTACAATTCCGAGACTGGAACCGGACGTCTGTACCTGCAAAATAACGGAGACTCCTGTGAGCTCCGCCTCAACGGTCAAGTTAGTACCTGATTAAGGAGTAATTAATGCGGAAATTAAAGTAATAAGGTCTCTCTAGGTGAGAGTGTTTAATGTAGGTAATCTGCTTTGTTAGCGAGATCAGCCGGTTATTACTGTGTGTAATTAATGTGTTTGTTCCGTAATGTTTTTCGTAAACTTCTTGTGTTTTCTCTTAATGAGGATTAAGGGAGGTATTTATAACCTTGGGAAACGTGCCCATTCTAGGTTTAGGTAAACCTAGGGCCGATTGGGCTTCCCTCGGAAGTTGGGCCCGGGTGGCCGGGTTCTCCATTAGGCATGGAGTATGCCACATGTCGTGACATAACAGGTCCAAGGTGGACGAATAAGCGCGTGCCACGTGGCAAGCCCTGACAGTTCCAACCAGGGGACACTTGGCAGGACCTGATTGGTCCACGTGGCGCATTCCGATTGGTGGGAGCAAAATCCCCTAATCATTTGCCCCTCACAGGTGGCACGTGACTGGTCACGTGTTACCTGTGACAGGTGTCGCACAGTAACGGGCGACGGCCTGCTACAGGTGTCAGTCGGCGAAAGGACGAGAGATTTTCCCGCCCAAATTTTGAATTCTGGAAGTGACCCTTCGCCTTCTCACTTCGCCTATATAAGGGAGAGTTGCCTTGAGTCATTTTCACACTTTGAGAACTATTTGAGAACATTTGGACCCCTGAACTTGCTCTTACATTTTGGACTTTTTCTGCCTACCGCCTGTTCTGACAAGCCGACTGCACAGGATTTCAGAACTTCATCAACCGTCACTCGTTCAGGTAACTCAGTTCTCTTACTCTTAATTTTCTTTTTATTTTCTGAAATGGCACCACGGAAGCACACGACACGACCTAGGTTAGTGATCAGCCGGTCACCGGGGACGGCTGAATCTAGGACTAGGAGTGCCGCCTGCCCTTTTCCGGACCCATCTTTGCCCTTTATACAAAGTCCGACTGTATCTGTGTCTATGCAGAGCAGGATGGCCAGAACGAAAAAGACAGCTAGGATCTCAAATTCAGACGGCTCCTCCCACAGGGTGCCGATTAGTGAAACATCTGACCAGGCGCCAGATGTTGAAGTGAGACAAGGCGGCCTGGATGCCGGCAATTCTGTGGGGGGAGTCATAGTGACCCCTTCCAATTTAACAGTTAACAAATCTGCTCCTTTTCAAAGAGAGGAGGCGGGCCCCTCCGGGAGAGGGGAGGAGTCGTCCTCTTCAGACTCGTCCGAGGACGATTCCTCGTCAAGCTCTTCTGGCCAGGCTTCTTTGGGTACAGAAGAGAAAAACAGCCGCCTGCAAGAGGCGAGACTTTCTCACGCAGTTGAGAAGGGGGACAATTGGGCGGAACCATCCGCCTCTTACCGAGAGCTAAATACCCCCTACTACTGCACGGTACCTCGGGGCCGAATCACAGCCATGCAAGAGAAAGTGGAGAGCTTTATTGCAAACCACACCATGGGCCCCGATTTTCTAGTGTTTGTGCCGGATCCAGAAGACACAGTCGTCTGGCCGGCTGGTTCCAGTTACGAATGCTCCTGCTTTGGCTGCTACGAGGCGGCCATCAAGGCAGGGCTTCGCTTCCCATTACATCCGGCTGTTCAGCGGATTTTGGATGGGTATGAGTTGGGGTTATGGCAGTTAGCCCCAAACTCTTGGGTCAACGTACTCGGATATGTGGCCGGGTGCGAACTGCACGGGGTGGAGCCGAGCTTCGAGGCTTTCGCCCATATGAACTATCTCAGCCGGACCCCTAAGACAGGCGGTACCGGCTGGTATCAATTGACAAGCCACAGGGGCTACCTCATGACAAGAGGTAAAGCAAACAAGTGGAAGGACTGGCGGAGCACCTTCCTCATCATTGAGAGTTCTGACATTGAGCAGAACAAGCGCTTCAATAGGTGGAACAGGAATCCGCCTCTTCTTGCAGGCGGCCGTAGCATGCCGCCTGTTCCCCCCAAGGCTAAGAAAGAGATCCTTGATAAAGGACTCTTTAAAGTAGAGTCGAGGGTCGACTCTACTTCAGGGGTACGAGAGCAAGTACCCCTGCACTGCGTCCCGAGCTTCAAGTGGCTCTATGACGAGTACTTTTTGGCCGCCTGCGGCCTCAGCAGTCGGTGCTCAAGAGGTAGTCGGCCTGTCGAATACTCTGTTGTTTCATACATTTGTTGTTTATCTTTTATTAACTTTGCCGTTTGTTTTTGCAGCT